CCCCTCCTCCCATCACATTTATAAAGTATATATATAATTATATAAAAGAATAGATCGGGGAAGAGCGCAGGGCCATCCACGTGACGGATATTTTTTTTTCTTTCTGTTTCTCTTTTTATGCCACCGACTACAGTTTGGGCGCCACCGCAGCGCATCTGTTGTCTGACGGGCGTTGCAATGTTCTTTGCCTCGCATGGTGGATGCGTTGCACGAGTCGGTGTCGTAGTGAGATGGGTTTATATGACCTGGGCGAAGGGTCGGGCGTTCGCTGCGCTTGTGCAGTAAAAGGTGGCAGCAGTGTCTGTTGTGGCTCTCGGTGCGTTTCTCTAAGGCACCTCAGTGCGCTGCATGCGTCTGAAGGTGCGGTGTCACACACCAGCCCCACGAGAGTTTGTTCCCAGAGGAGCTTTGAGACCCCCCGCATCGTTTGTCCGTCGGCCACCGCCACGGAACGGAAGGAGTGCAAGTGTGACGTGTCGTTCTCTGGTGACTTGGCGGACGCCATCACGGCGAGTCGCGCAGCGGCTGAAAGCAAACAGGAGTTAGCGGGAGCTTAGATGCATTTGTCCTGGACGTTTCTTCCGCGAGTTCGTTGCTGCTGCTGCCGCCCTCAGAAGGGCACTAGCGAAAGAGACGCCATGTTGGCGTCGATGTCCGTGGACGGGTGGGCTTTTTTTCCTTCACGCGCCCTATGATGCTGGTGGAATTGCCGCTCGTGCCGATTCTGCACGCATTCGTTGCAACCACCGCCACCGATGACGGCTGGCGCCAATTCTGCAAGCGCCATCAAAGAGAAACCAACGGCTGAAACACACACACACACACACACAAGGCGGTTCAGCTTGCATTTAACAAGCCGTATTTGGAGGAGGGCGGTGTTTTGCGGCTGCTGCAGGAGAGGTGGAGGGAGGAGGGACGACTGAACGGCGTTTCTTTCCAAGGACGGGGTGTTGTGGAGCCGCCCATGGGAAGGGAATTCTGCCGCATTGCTTGCGACATTTGCCGTGAGCCGGCAAACTGCATAGCAGCTGCTCGCAATTGCTGTGACCCCGCATTGCGGTGTGCCAAGGGGCTGTGGCGAGAAGCGGTTGGAGGTGCCCATGCACGATTTTTTTAATTTGCACAACAGTGCGTTGCTGACGACCCTGACGGAAGGATGCACGTGTGCATTTCCGTGGTTTCGCCCCACTTCATGATCGTTTATTTATCGTATGTGTTGGATGTATGGCTATTCCATTCCTTTCCCCCCCTTCGTTACGCTTCATGTCATCTTATTACAGTTCATGCGTGTTGAGGAATGATTTTTTTTCTTTTTTGATTTGATTTGCTTTTACCGCACAAGCACTGCCAGTGTATTTGTCTGCTTGAGGAGCGCTGTTTTAGCCGATGTCTAGAGCGTCGCTGCGGCGGGATGGTCGTGGGCATCGAGAGATGCGTGGAAAGGAGCTGCGGACCTCCGAGCTTACGCAGTTTGACGGCTCTGCCTGGTATTCGCAGGGTCTCACCACTGTCGTTGCCGCCGTCAACGGACCCGTGGCGGCGCGGCAAGAGGACTATCGCAAATGCGGTGTGCAAGTTTATGTCAATCGCGCCGTTCGCATACCGCGCGCCGGCGGGACAGATCGGCTCTGCGTGGAGGAACAACGTGTGGAGCAGCGGCGCATGGATGCAGAAGTGGAGATGTTTCTTACCGCTTCCATTCAAGCCGTGGTGCGACTGGATCAGTTCCCGCGCTGCGTGCTCGAAGTTCACGTCACCATTTTGGCGGACGATGGCGCCCTTCTTTCTGTGGCGACAAATGCACTCATGTGCGCGCTCCTGGATGCTGGTGTTCCCTGCCGCACGACAGTTGCCGCCGTAAGCATCGTCGCACTTACACCGGAGGACGGTTCTCCAGTAACCGCTCCAACAACAACAACAACGACAACGGCAGCACCGGAGGCATCTTCTTTGTTGTCGTCCTCTTTGCCGTTGGCGCTTTTGCTTGACCCAACACGTGTAGAGGAGGGAGGCGACGGGGTGCGCACATGCGCCACAGCCACATTTGTGCTTTCGAACTCCGCGGATGGCAGCAATAATAGCAGTGGTGGCGTGTTGGTGAGTCAGCTGCAGACGTGTCCGCGGTCTTCGATGCATGGCGGAAGAATGTCGTCCAAGGATCTTGTAGGCATGGTTGCATTGGCAGAACGAGCGGCTGTCTCAATATTTTCGTTTTTTCGCAAATGCAACGTGCCTCTGGAATAACGAGTTGCAGCAGACACACAAGGGAATAAAGAGAGGGAGTAAAAGGCTTTAATATACAACGGCGGAGGGCCTTACGCGTAAACACTGAGGAACAACGTCTGCCGGTACGCGTTCTGGCAGGAGACATGGCGATCCATCACAAATGGGTATTGCTGGGTGTTTTGCTTTGCCTTGTTGAATCCATTGCATTTCTTTTCATTCTGTTGACGCTACGTCTTTTTTTTTTTTTTTTGTGTGTGGGGGGGCTGCAAGAAGTGTGGTGGGCTTTTGTGACTAGCAGGCAATTCGTACCGTACAGGTATATATATATATATATACGCACACACACGTATTATAAGAGACCGTAAAGCAAAGCGGAAAATAAAGAAAAAAAGAGCAAATAAAGAGGGCTAAATTATGAATTCTCAGGAAAGAAACCCCTCGACTGCTGCTGCTGCTGCTGCTGCTGTAGTAGTGAGTAATGATGGAGCGGTTTCAGCGGTGGAGAACGATGCCATTTCTTCTAAGGGCGAGTCCTTACAGGCGGGCCTCGCACGTAAGGCCCAAGTGTGCGTCCAGCTCACTCCGTCGGCCGAACCCCTTTTGTTGTGCGCATCGGAACAGACATTAGACAAAATGCATCAAGTTGAGGCCTACAACAGCGGTAACAACAATGAGAATGACGGAAAAGACGACGCCATCACAAAACACACTTCTTCTCACGTGGAGGAGGCGGAGAAATTGTATGCAAAGGCGGAGGCAAGTGTAGCAAACGGTCTTTCCAGGTGTATTGATTGGCTCCACGCACGGGATCTTTTTCACGAGGCCGGCGCCCTTTTCGCCACCGGCGGGCATGCGGATGCAGCCGCCAAGGCGTTCCTACACGCAGGTGTCATCACACAAGCGTTTAAGAGTGAGAGTGAAACGATACTGATGCTCTCGCTTGCGGCAGATAATTTGCAAGTGGTGCAGCCGGCCATTGCCGTGGATGTGTTGAATTTTCTTTCCAACGCGTTTTCAAAGAGCGGTCTTGTCATTCAGGCAGCGCGTTGCAAGCGGGACGCGGCGGAATTGTTGGATTACCGCCTCGAGATGCCCGTCGAGGCGGTCCAAACGTATAAAGAGGCGATGCAGCTGTTTGGGGACCGCAACGTCACAAAGTCTTTCACCCGCGGTTGCATGGAGCGGATCTCCGCGCTGACTGTCCTTCAGTTAAAATTTGTCGAGGCATCGGAGTTGTACATGGAAGAGGCGAAAATGGTACAGCGGTTTCTCCCCAAGACGAGGCAATTTCTTTATTCACTGCTGTGCTTGCTTGCCAATGGCTTTGGCAGTGATGATCGCTACTTTGATGCACTTTACTACACACGTAAGAAGTTTGATGCCCTGCAGGAGGAGGAGAGGCACTTTCAACAAGGGAAGGAGTACACCCTCATGCGGCAACTCATTGACGCCAATGACCACGGCTCACTCAATGAATTTGACATTGCTGTGTTTACATATAAATCATGTGCAACGTTTAAACCGGATATTGTCTTTGACATACTCATTGAACGGTGCCGTTCCAACCTTTACGAACATATGGAGCAATACATGTAAAACGTCTTCACTTCGTTTTTTTTTTTTCTTTTTTCTGTGGTTTCTTTCTCTCTCTCTCTCTCTCTCTTTCTTTTTATTTGTTTGTTGTGTGGGAGGGGGAAGAGAGAAGAGGGCCCTTTTCTTACATTGGATATATGTATGTAAATATATGTATAGATGTACATAACGGCAACTCGGCATGATTGTGGTGTCTTTTCTTTATTTTGTTGTTTTTTTTAGTTCTTTTTTTTTTCTTTTGAAATTATTATTTTGCGGCTCTTTTTTTAAATTTCTGTGAGCCCCTCTCGACATCCATCGTTAGCCGGGCATGCACAATATGTAGGCACAATGACACCTCCCTCTTCCTCTCCCTCTCCCTCTCCCCTTTCCGCATATCCATCGCCCCTTTCTTTTGCCGATGTTCATCTGTGCATGTATGTAAATATAAGCAACTAACCGTCTTTCTCTGTTTTGGTGGATTTATTTGCATGCATGTTTGAGATGCTGTCAGTCTTTTTTTCTTTTTTTTTCTTTTCCTTTTCTTTCGTTTTTTATTTTTGTTATTGTGACATCACGAATACCATTTGCTTTCTTTGGGGGGGCAGTGGATCTCTCTTGTGTGTGTGCGTGTGTGTGTGTTTGAGGGGATATTTACATGACTCACGGTGACACTAGCGTCTTTGCGCGGGCAACACAGCAAACGAGGGATACATTTTTGCGTGGTGGTACTGCTAGCCAGCGGTTTCTGCAGCGATATCGCAAGTACCCCTACCCAGTGCGCATGGCAGGACTTTTTTTGCTTGGCTTTGCTCTTGGTGGTGTGATTGAGACATTTGCGTGCAAGACACACATGTACGAGAGTGTTATGGCGAAGAAGGACATGCGTCGACATGAATTTGATGAGTTTGTTGCCGACTTTCGGGAGAATATGGAACGATGGCAGCGGCAGGATATGATGCAACGACGGGTATAATCATACCGTGAAACTTCTTGTGTGCATGTTTTTTTTTTTTTTTTTTTGTGTGTGTTTGTCTTCCACTTTCTTTCTTTCTCTCTCTCTTTATGTTTTTATTTTTCACTTCGCAACATTGGGGGGAAATGTTATAAAATTGTGTGTCTGTTGTATTTACTTTTTTTTGTTTTTTTCTTCTTTTTTTTGTTTGTTTGCATTTCAGCCGCGGTGACGGTGGTAGCCGCCGCTCGATTACAGCAGGTGGTGGTGGAAGAGAAGCGGTTAAAAACAAGCCGTCGTTGGGTGCACAGACAGACAGGGATAAAGAGGGAGAGAGAGAGAGAAGGGGCGGGCGCAAACTATCACAATATATATTTTAGACCGCACTGCTATATAATTAACAAGAGAGAAGAAGAAAAACAAACAAACAAACAACAACAACTAAACCACACACACAGTTGGGTGTGTTATTGGAGAGAAAGCGGGGGAGAAGCCAGAGAGATTGTGAGAGGGAAATATGCACCAGATATCCTCTTTGATGGGGAGACAAGGAGGGGGTGGTGTGAACGCCGCGGTCACGGTGGCTGATGCATCTTCCTCAACAGCGGCGGTGGTGAAGCATAAAATTGTGCTGTTGGGCGATCAGTCTGTGGGGAAAACTAGCCTTGTGACACGATTTATGTACGACACCTTTGATCAGCAGTACCAGGCTACAATTGGCATTGATTTCTTCTCCAAAACCATACCAGTTGACAACCGCACAGTACGCTTACATGTGTGGGACACAGCAGGGCAGGAGCGATTTCGTTCTCTCATTCCTAGTTACATCCGCAATAGCTCCGGCACTATAGTTGTGTATGATATTACATCTCGAGCTTCGTTTCTTGGGACATTTAAGTGGATTGACGAGGTACGGGCTGAACGAGGGGATAGTGTTGTGATCTTTCTTGTTGGAAACAAGTTGGATGCGCAGGAGAAGCGCGTAGTGAGCACGGAAGAGGCCCAAAAGAAGGCGGAAGAGTACAACCTTGTGTTTATGGAAGTTAGTGCTAAGCAAGGAAAAAACGTCAAGGCACTCTTTAGAAAAATGGCGGAGGCTCTCCCTTTGCCAGACGACAACGCGAGTGGTATTGGCAAGAAAGGAAATGGTGTGGGTGACAGTAGCAGCCAGCCGTTTGTGTTGGGCAAACAGCGGGATCCATTTCTCCTCACCCCATCGCGGCTTCCACAAAGTGATCGTGATGGATTGCAAACCAACAACAACAACAGGGGCAATGATGACACCAACGGATTCGCGAATTATATGCAGGGAAGATGTTGTTGAAGGAAACAATTTAGAGGAGGGAATAATTGAAGTTGGATTTTAGTACTGCTCTTTTTTTTTTTTTTTTGTGTGTGTGTGTGTGCTTATAAATAAATATTAATTTATTTATTTCTTGTTTCCTTTCCTTCTTTTTTTTTCCCCCCCCCCTCTCATGCACACACATACACATATATATATACATATGGTGTGTTCCGCTCTGAGTGCAGTCTCTTCTTCCCTATATGTCCGTGCATACATGCACAGAGAGAGAGAAAGGAGGAGAGGGAAGGATTCCGATATGTGCGAGATAACATCTCTGTGTGTGAAATGAGATGCTCTTTCAATGTGAATTATATTTTTTTTTCTTTTTCTCTCTCCTTTTTTTTTTTTTTTTAAATATTCCTTTTCACTGTTTTACTTCATTCTCTGTTTACGCAGGACGTTTGGATTTCTCTCTCTCTCTCTTTCTCTCTCTTTCTCCATGTGCATGGGCGCACAGTGTTACCGCACGTAACATCTCAAGGAGTTGCTTTTGTGTTGGGCGAGGCGCGATCGCTGACACGACACACGAAATCCAAGCAACGGGGGATTTGAACATCCGTTTTTTATTTTTAGTTTTTTTTTGTACCGATGAGTGGGGATCTGTTGGAGATACTCGGGGAGTCGAGGAATTGGGTGTTGAAGCGACATCGCGTTCTTGGCAAAGGCGGTTTTGGCTGCGCGACGTTGTATGAGGAGGTTCATACACCTGGTAGTTTTGTAGTTGTGAAGGATATAAACATGCAGATTATGAAAAAGGAAGAAGAAATGAAGGCAGTTGAAATGGAAGTGGCAATTCTCCGGCGTTCATGCGGACATCCAAATATTGTGCAATTTTTGGATTACTACCACGACGGTCAGTTTATGATGTACATTGTCATGGAATACTGCGAGGGTGGAGACTTGGCACGGCTTGAGGAACAAATGCAGTTTCGTGTATTCCATCAACCTGAGAGATTTGTCGCTTCCATTCTCATTCAGATGTTGGTTGGTTTATATTATTTGCATGTGGATCAGCACACACTACACCGCGATATTAAACCACAAAATGTGTTTCTCTGTAGCGATGGCACAATTCGTATCGGTGACTTTGGCGTGTCGACAGTTCTCAACCAATACGGCTGTCGTGCGAAGGCGGTATGTGGCTCCCCGTTTTACATGGCCCCGGAATTGTGTGAAGAGAAGGCGTATGATGGCAAGGCGGATCTCTGGAGTCTTGGGGTAATGATGTACGAATTGATGGTACTGGAGCGACCGTTCAATGCAAAATCCATCCCCGCACTAACGCGGCAAATCATACACGGCGAGTTTAGCCCCATCCCGCGCGAGCTTCACTACTCCGCTCAACTTGTGGAGATGGTGGAGTCTTTTCTGCAAACATCTCCAACCGCGCGGCCAACGCTTCGACGCGTGCTGCGAAGTTCTTACGTACATAGTCACCTTGACTGCGTTCCAATTGTTTGCCTTCTCTCGGATCACTATGCGCGGCTTTTCGGAGAGGAGCTTCTGCAGCAAATTCTACAGAAACATAAAGACTCGACAAACACCACAAGTCAAGTAACTACCGTTGTTAGCAGAAACAGCGCCAGCGTACAGGAGGTGGAGAGGTGTAAAAATCATAGCGACCACAGCGACAGCGCATCGGCACAGCCACTCGCTCATCAAGAGATTAGCGAGCTGGAACAGTGGCTGGAGGCGAACGGAGATGTAACTGATGCTTTCATTGACGCACAGTTGCCCAGAAATCGAGCCGATGGACAAGAGCTGTCAAACTCACCATCAGATATCGGCAGAGCAGTGAAAACAGGCCGTGTCTTTTCGGACGACATTATGGACGATTCAATATCCAGTGAACAAGGAAAAGGGCAGCAAGCGGAGGATGATGTGAGGGATGACTTCTACGAGGATGACTTTGAGAGTGAGAGCAGTGGATAAGAATTCAAGCCATGACTTTTGAATAGCACGAAGACAGTCATAAAATTAGACGGAGGTTCTGCGATGGAGAGAGAAGAGAGAGAGAGAGTAACAGAATGAAAGAAAATATTTATTCCCTTATGGTTGGCACGCTCTTTTTCTTTTTTTCTTTTTTTTTTTTAAATTTTATTTACTTTTTGTGGCCGAAGCGTGTAAACCCTTGATGGTGAGGAGGGGGGAGGTGTTGACATGTTGATTCACGAGGTTCTGACGGTGGTGACGGTGGTGCATCCCCATCTTTTGGTCTCCTTTTTGCTTTTTTTTTCCTTTTTTTCTTCTCTTTATTTGTGTGTGAGTTGGGCGTGACGGTTGGACACGTGCCGTCCGCCCTGCTGTCTGATGGGTAGAGTGCTTCCTCGTCACGATTCCGCTCACGGAAGTTATTCCCGGAGTATCTCCACCGCACAGATCGTAACGATGAGTGGGCGTACAGTTTTAAAGGCGGCTGCGCCAGTCTACGATCCCATTTTTGTTTCTTCCTTCGCTCTTCTTCTTCTTCCTCCTCTTCCTTTTTTTTTTTTTTTGAAAATTTGTATGGATGCCACGACCCTGGACATTCCGCCTCATAGCTGGGAGCTGCATTTACCTGATGAAGTCTGAATAAGGAGGAGGGAGAGATGCATAGAGGGCACTGAGGAATTTTTCCTAGGCCTTTCTTTCTTTCTTTTCTTTTTCTCTCTTTTCTTCTTCTTCTTTTTTTTTTTTTCTCTAACATGTGGAAACCATAAAAACCTTTTGATATTTGTGTGTAGGTCTCTGCCTGTTCATGTGTCTTATCACCGTCTCATCCAAGGATGTCTCTTGAAGAAGGGCGGCGTTCTTTTTGTGCTTATTTGAATTTGCGGGGGATCTTTAGACGTGCACTCACGCAGATTGAGAACATAGAAAAAAAAAAACAAAAACAAAACAAAAAACAAACAATGATCGCATCTCACGAAAAGTAAACATGCAGTGATGCTTCATTGATGGCGTACTGTGACCTTTTGTAATATTACTCGAGGCTCTGCTGTGGTATTGCATCCCTATTTCCGACGATCCGAAAGCGTACATGATAACACCGGGTGGGATGGTGAGGATTGTTTTGGGAACGTGTGTCTTCATCTCTTTCTTTCTTTTTTTTTTTTCTCTTCTCCCCTCATTTTTTGTCCAGTGAAGGGTGGCTTTCCGCTTCTCTTCGTTTTTTCCGTTGAAGATTTTATTTTTTGGGCGGAATGGTCTTTTTTTTTTTTTTGTGTGTGTGTGTCTGTGTTTTGTGGGGGCGTTGTTCGCCGTGCGCTTCCACTCGACAGACGACCCTGCCACGACCTTCACCGGCTGCCAATGGCACAGTGCTTTCACAACATTACACTCCTCGTATTTTTACTTTTTTCTGTGGGCGACAGTTATCCGAGCTGTCCCTTCCGGGCTGTTTTTTTTGGTGCTTTGCCCCTCCTCCCCAGTAACGTGTCTGATGTATTTCTGCCGCTGTCGTTGTCCTTTCCACGCACACAAAGAAGTTAATACCAAGCGCTAATCGCTACTGTGAAATTCGAAGGCTCTGAAAGGACCAACAACAGCACACACACCGCCCACACACATATATTTATATGCTCTCACGTGTTGCTGCAGTGAAGGCACCCCGCACACACAACCGTCGCTGCTTGACCGGATCCAGCGGAAGGAGGAGGGAAGGAAGAGAGAGTGAGCCGCAGAGGCCCAACATGTCCCGGCGTGTGTTTACTTCCGCGGTGCTGCTCCTTCTTCTCATGATTATGATGTGCTGCGGCACCTGTGGAGCTGCACACGCCGTGGAGAGCAAGTCCGGGGGTCTGCAGCTGCCGCAATGGGTCGATATTTTTGTGTCGAATGAGACGCGGGTGGTTCCAAAAGATAGGACTGATGAAACCGGAGTGAGGGAAGCATTTGCCGCACCCTCTCTCGTCCGTGTTGGTGGGGTGATGGTTGCCTTTGCTGAGGGCTTCCTCGAATATAACGGCCATCACGAGAAATTGTTTGGGACTCGTTATTCCGACATTGTGGCTGGGTACATCAAGGCTGCGGAGACGTGGCCGTCCATTGTCGCTGAGATCGCCAGGAAGGAGTGGAGGGCAGACACCGTGCTTGGGGGTGGGAACGGCGATGATCGTTTGCGCGTTTTTTGTCGGCCCGCATCCATTGCAGGGGACAGGAAGGTGTTTCTGCTTGCGGGAATCTATGAAGAGAAGTACGACAATGATGATGATGAGATGGCTGGGATATTCAGCTGGTTGAGGGTGTGGCCACGCAGTCCACGGACGGCGTGCAGAGTACACTGATCAGCTGGGCTGAACCCAAGTCGCTTTCACAACAGGTCCCCAAACACACTCAAGATCGCCTGAAGGAATTTTGTGACTGCTGGTGGCTCAGGCATTGTGTTGCAGAATGACACGCTTGTGTTTCCCCTGGTGGCGGCGAATGGGAAAAATCAACTTTTCTCCATGATCAATTATTCGACGGACAAGGCAACAACTGGGTGTTCCCAGAGGGCATTTCTCCTGTGGAATGCCTTGATCCCGCATCACCGAATGGGAGAATGGACAGATTCTCATGATTGCTGAATGTTTTGAAGGCCAGAGTGTGTTCGAGTCGCGTGACATGGGGAAAACGTGGACGGAGGCTATCGGGACACTCTCAGGCGTGTGGGTCATGTCACACTCAGGAGTCCGTTGGGACGAGAGTTTGCGTGTGGGAGCCCTCATCGCTGCGACCATTGAGGGAAGGAAGATCATGCTGTACACTCGGCAAGGGCACCCCTTCTGGGGGACTGAAGCCAAGTCGCTCTACCTTTGGGTCACGGACAATAGCCGCACGTTTCATGTTGGACCGCTTTTTGTGGAGAATGCTATGGGTGAGACGCTCGAAAACGCCCTGCTGTACTCGGATGGTGCGTTGCACCTTTCACGAGAGAGTATTGTGGGAACGCGCCGGGGCATATCCCTTGCCCGCCTGACTGAGGAGCTGAAGACGATCAACTCCGTCCTGAGGACTTG